GTTGGCTTCTGAGATGGATTGCTTGAATAATTTGTCATTACCAAGCTGTGTATTATCTTCTTGTGAGTTTATAATGGTCTATAATGTAATGCATTTTAAATGCAATAAACCTTCAAGGTATTGTGTTTGATATTTCATATTGTCACATGTGTCCTCATAGAGTCAATCACTGGTAAGGAAATTGGTCAAGAAAGTTTCTGTCCGTCTTAGATGAGTTTATAAAACTAGCTGCTTGGTGAAAGTTTTATGCAAAGTTTAAATATGGCTTTTTTCTTGCGTGATACATTTTCAGGCTACATTTCAATTCAATTTTTGGTTTGGGTATACGTCCTATCAGCAACTTACAAATTCAAAAACATTGAGAATAAAAAATAAAAAGCAGTCTCAGTAAAATGTCAACCTCAATATGTCAACCTAGAATATTTGTAGACACCATGCAACATTTGTGTTTTCAGACACAAAAAGTTAATGAATGTTGGACACATAACCTCGAATCTGATGCTGAAGAAATTAGTTTGTGGGCAATTGTGTGGTATAACTGCAAGTTTACATCTAAAACTGGCGCAAAGTTTTGAAAAACAGAAAAAAAAACCCTGACACACTTATTTTTAGAGATTCAGCACCTGGCTTTCAATGACTGTAAAAGTATTTTCATCATGGCTTTTCGCACCAAAAACCTCAGTCCCCAATAGTTTGAGGTTTCTGAAAGGTTACTTAATGAGAATTCATACATGCACAACTCTTAATTTACAGGTAGTGGATTTCAACATATAGACAGGATGATATAGCTCCTCTTCAATATGCATCGTTTAGACATTGACTGAACACCGGATAGTGCGACCCCAGTTTGTTACACGATCAGTATGCATCTCATGATGAGACTAAAGCGTCGGGATCACAAAACACATGGAAAACATGTGTTAACGCCTCCATGTGTACCTAGCTTACATTGCGCAAACGCTACACGGAGCATCTGGCAGCAAGCTGCGCCACCATGTCTCGCTCTGTGGCATCATACCCTTTTTCTGACAAGGCACCATCTCACTGCGTGGCTGCCAACATTCCCCTCCCCCCCCTCGGCGATGGTTTCTACCATGCTGCATCCACGGCATCACCCACTTTCTGTCATTGAGATTTAGCTTGGCAAGAAGACAATGCCCATGTCTTGGCACCAAAGACACGAGGGAGCTCCAAAAGAGAACCAACCTCACTCTTTCCCTTCATATTGCACCGATCGCCGTGGACCAGCGCCAGTTTGTAATGGGTATTTTCTTATGCCTTCGTTTAATAACTACTCAGTTGTTTGGCTCCTGAGCATTTGAATGGACAGATATTCTCAATAAGTTGAATCTGCTGGGCTGCGTAAAGAGCTCTTTGTGGTAATGTTCTCTGAAGCCGCTGCCGAAATCTCATCAGGATTATGTTGATTGTTCTGATTCTCGCTGTAATCTTTGCCACTGGTCCCCTCAGCCCTCTGCATGACCATCCAGGAAGGTGAATTACCACTTTCATTCTTGTGTTTTATAAAAACTACAACAATAAGACCAAACATTTGGGCCAGACTAATCACTTAAACGACAAAATGTGTTCGCTTAATTAATATATGGATTATTTATCTAGAAATCACGGCCAAACTCCACATGATGCAAAGAGATATCAAATATAATCTGGTAAAATAAGAGATTATATTTTAACTGAAGCTGTAATAATGCCTCTGTCCATATTATGGTGTGTTTTGAGTAACATTAACACTTCAGTATCCAGATTAAAAGGTTAATCAGGTTGATAACACCGTGTGTCCAAAATATGTTTGTAATCTATCACTTTTCTTGTATGAGAGCTAGAAGGAACTCCTTTCTTCACTCCTTCCCTCATAATTTCAAGCCGGATAGACGGATTTGGTACAATTTAGCACTTAATTAACTGAGCATCTCAGTTAAGGCCTCTCTTTCTGATGCCCTACTGCCTTTTTTTCTGCCCCAGTGAGCATGGCGTACCACCACAGCAGCACAGGATGCCAAAACATTTCAATCACTGCCAGCATTAATTGGACCAAAAAGGAATTCAGAATGTTAATGAACAGGCCGGCTGCCTTTCAGGGAACATGATTCACATGCTAATTTATGCAAAGAGTCCCAGTCATTGCATGGGTTGACCATCACTGTCTACCATAACAGTGTCTAGGCGCAGTCATCTATGTCCGTGTCTAGACTTGGACAGGACTTGGACAGTGTTACCCAGCTTGTGTCCCAGACTCTAGCTGGCACAGCAAACAGACTTCTTTTCAATTGACTTGAGGTGGCTGTCACACCAAGCAAAATGGGAAACTTTCAGGCATAAACGATCATACTAGATACTAGATTAAAAAAAATATTTTAAAAGAAAGCCAAAGGAACAAGGTTTTTGAGAGAGCCACTGACAAAAAGAGCAACCCTTTTAGTTTGCTTGAATAATTGCTGTAGCTTAACATAATTTAAGAGAAGAAAGACGGAGACACTTAAAGGCAGTGACTCAAAGCAGGAAGTTGTACAGGTTGCACCACAGATGTTCAGGTGCAGGAGCCAAACAACTCCCTAAAATGGCTGGGGTGCTGCCATTTTAGGCTTTCCCTCATTTGATGCACAATTCTTTCTGGTTCTGGTTGGAGAAATGGTAGGGACTAAACTGGGGACACGCATGATTGAAATGACCTATGTTTATAGCCTTTCTGTAGGAAAACCTAAGCCAAGTTTCAGGCTAAATTCAGTAAAACTGGAAGAAATGGTTTCATACACAACTATCCCTTGTTATGTATGAGTCCTTCTTTCACCGTTCGTGGTTAAAGGAACTGCCACAATTTCTTTGGCAACGGAACTTGCAATCTGTTTTTAATACATTGAGGTTGTTGAGAAAGTCATAATGTTTTTCATTATTGAGTACTATCTTCTTTTTCTCATAGGTAACTCTTTATGTAGATGTAGACAATACTCCATGACTGAGTTTTTATGTGGTTTCATGTTTTGTTTCCCAACTGTTTACAACAAGACAAGTAACATTACACTTGAGCATTTGACAGTGGCAGTAGCAGCAGAAATTGATTGACAAAAACAAACTTTAATAATTGGTAAATGGTAATTTACATACACAAATACTGTCACAAGCAGCCTATGTGCGCATTTAAATGTATTTAATGTGTCTATGTGGCCATGGTGAATGCTGTAACAGTGTATTCTTTGTGTCTCGCAGTTCGACTGTCAAGGTTCCACTGGGACTTGGAAAGCTTTCTGTCCTTAAGGCTGAGGTAGTAGATTGAATAGTTGTGGGGTTTATGTCCTCCTTTAGAGATAACTATACAATCTACTGTCTTTCCGAAGGAAACAGGATAATCTGCCAACACCCAACTCTTCATAGCCCCATGAAACACTGTGGATGATGGAACTAAATGATTAAATTGATAAAAAATAGTACCCGACATTTTTGAGTGACCAGGTGGGAATGCAAATGAGTGCTTTTTTCAAAATCTGTAATGGATCCTCCCCAGCAACAGTTTTTTTCTAAAACTACTTTGTTACCAACAGACCAACCTAAAGTGAATGATGGTCAGTTTTACTCGAAGTTGAGCCTAGCAAGGTGAGGTAGTAGGTTGTATAGTTTGTGGGATGGAGTAAATCCTACTCAGGTGATAACTATACAGTCTATTACCTTCCTTGAGAGGTACAATGAGTGCTTGGAAAGGCGCTCTCTCACAGCTAACTGATGCAGGAGCCCCTCTTTTGCCATCATGTGGTCAAAGACTGACGTTACACTGGAGCCGATCCACGCTGTGACATCTGTGTTGTGTACCCGAAGCACTGAAAAATGATGTTGCTTTTTTCGTGTTGTGTGTTTTAAAGAATTGTTAAAACGAGGAGACTCAGCAAGTTATAACCCCCTTATTGTTTTTAACAACTGGGTTTATAGTTCATTACTTGAAGTTAATTTCTATAAGAACTGAATGCATTATTTTAAAAAGTTTACAGTTTTCAACATTTTAATGCTCCTCGAAACATTTGATTGTTTTCCTACATGTTAGCCATTTGTCTGACTTCCTTAAAATGTGTTTTTAGGAAAAACGTGGCCTGCTGTCCGTCAGTCAGCTTTGAGGCCTTTTAAAGTAGCACCTAATCAAACCCGATTTCAGTGCATTCAGTGTTAAGAACGAATATGAGGCTCTTCTCTAAGGAACAGATATAAGTTTGTCTAAATATCTGTAAATATTCCACTGTTATACAGACATGAAATGGTATAACTGCCTACAGTTGCCTTGTCCAATAATTTATCAACACATTTTTGCAAAAATACTCCAGCGCCCACATAACCCCACAAGGAATGAGCAGCATAGAGATTGATTGGTAGAAATTTGAGAAAAAACTTTGCTAAAAGATAAATGAATGAGTTTAAAATCTTCATTGGACGCTGTTTTCTCGACATACAATTGTTTGTTGAAACCCTGCATGACAAGCTCAGCCATCACATTTGTTGTGTTGTTTTTTGTGGTCCCTTCTTTACGCAATATTACGAAATTTTGTCTGCTGCTTCTTACAAATGAGGAAAAAACAGTCCAACACAACAGCAGATACAATTATGATTAGATCTTAACCAGTTTTTTCAATATCAGAAGAAATTTGAAACAACAGAAGTTAAAGATTGGTTAGAATGAATGACTTGACCATAGACATCATTGTTACAGACTTGGTTTATGAATGCGTGGATGAAAAACAGCATTCTTTACAGAACAGTGAATGTAGTTATATAGGACAATGTTTTTTCTCTGTTGCACCGTTTCCATAATGCACATACACACACACAAAGACAAACACACACACACTCACAGACAGACACACACTCTAATCATCACCACTCACTGATTGACTGATCTACTCATTCTGGATTGCTTTTGGATAAAAACCTGAAGCAGGGGTTCCATTTGATAAATGTCAATAAAGTTTTTTCTTGAGAACAAACAGAATGAAAATTTATCATCAGTTATTGTTGGTCAGAGTGTCACTGCTGGGAATGTTGTCTGATGTCTGACTTGTTTGAGATCCTTGATTTTCTGCTGAACATGAAGTGTACTTTTTCCAGACTCTCAGATATGCATTCTTGATTTTTTGTATTTTAAATGCATACACAACTGGGTTTATTGCAGAATTTGCATGAGATAGCACAATGCCAACATAGAAAATATTTGTAGACACGACACTTTTCCCTTTAAAGAAGTCGATGCAGTTCATGATGTGAAGAGGGAGCCATGACAGAGCAAACAGGGCCAAGACCAGGAACAGAGATGCTGCCAGCTGTTTCTCTTTCCTCAGGTAGTTTTGTGAATTTGTTTGGGCACCGTTGCCTGGTTTTTTTCTAAGACTTAGTCGAATTTTGCGGAAGACGGATCCATACAAGATGGTCATCACCAACAAAGGTGTTAAGGTACACAGGTAGAAATTGAAGTAAACCAGGTAAGACATGGGGATCACAAACACAAACTCGCAACAAATAGTTGTGTTGTTAGGCTGAGGGAGGTTTTCGTGGTTGTACCATCCAAGCATGGGTATGAAACTCAGTGGTACCGCGGCAAGCCAACATGCAGCTGCCACGAGACAAGAGTGTCTCTGTGTTACAGTCCTTTTGTACCTATGGAAAATGACACATATTTATAACACAAACTGTCTCCATTCCAAAAATACAAACCAAAGATTACATGTAATAAAAGACAAATCAGGGAGGTTCAGATAATAAATAGATGACTATATAATACACATCTAATAATTTAAACCTGCATCTCGCAGTGATATGAGCACAGTTAAAATCCTGATGAGTCTTACCTGATAGGGATGTACACCCGGAGGTAACGGTCTACAGCGATGGCCAGCAGACTCAATACTGAAGCAAGAGTCAACAGGATGACCACACAGCTGATGAAGAGACACAAGTGGAACGAAGTGTTCAGTCGCCCGTCCACAGCCACAGCCAACGGTATGGCCACACATCCAACCAACAGGTCAGCGACGGCCAGGGAGACGATGAGGCAGAAGGTGGGCTGCTGGATGCATTTACTGGTCCACAACGCCAAAATAACCAGAACGTTACCCAGACAGCAGCTAACAGCAATGAGCACTTCCACCACCGTGTAAATGAGTTCAGCTACGTCCATGATGTAGCCGCACAAGCTGATCAGTGGAAGTCTGAGTCCTGGCATGCAATGACACTTCTCATTCATATCAGTCTTGTGAAACCTTTGAGGAAGTTCTTGTCCTCATCTTCTTCTTTTTTTTCTTCTTTTTCTGAGAGAAAACAATTCATTTGGTTAAATTATCTTAAAGCTTACTGGCTGATGTTCAAGTTCCACTATAAACTAACTTTTGCTACTCTTGTAATTGAAGTTGCAATAATTCTGTCTGTTGGGCATATTGCAGGAGTCAAAAATATATTTAAGAAAAGACATGTGGATGCACATACACCATGTTGATATGAGAAATGAAAGCAAGCCATAATATGGAGGCTTTCATGTCATCTACAAAAAAGTAGAAGCTACGGCTTCCGCTCAGATCCATATATCTGTTAGCATGATGCTATCAGAATATGCAGTTTCTTCTCTTTCAGATGGGGCTACTCATTAATCAGCAAACAACAGGAACAGGATAACTGTCTATTTTCAGACCCCTTATGGTGAAAAACATAGATGGAATCAGTGTTCCCTCGCCCGGACGAGGGTGAATGGGGCCCCACTCTGGCCTAGTGGTAGGGAACACTGGCGAGCGCCTGGTGTCCGTGCTTTCAACCATGGAGCCCAGCCAGGCGTATAGCGAAGAGGAGACAAGGGTCCCCCTTCTGATGGGCTCACCAACTGCCCAACCTCAAAGGGGTCGGGTGTAATGTGGCATGGTTGGCAGCAGAAAGCGGGGACCTCAGTGGTCTCCACCTTGGCGACAGAAGCTAGCTGTCGGGACAGAGAATGTCACATCCCTGGTGGGGGTTTACCAATCAATCTGCTTTCCAATCGTCATCTATGGTCATAACCTTTGGGTTGTGACCGAAAAATGAGATTAGTTTTGTTTTTTAGTAATCTTAGGCGTTTGTCACCTGTTGAGTAACCAAGAAATAACTAAGTAAAAAAATCTTGGGCAGCTAAAATGACAGCTTTTTGTATCCTCTTTCTGGGGGTTTTTACCAATATGCTGTAAGAATATTGTCAAAACCTGCGTGAGTAGCCCATAAATTCCTACAAAAAGCTAAGGAAAGTTAAAATGAAAGTTATTCCCAAAATATGCTCATTGGGAAAGTTAGAAAACATGAATGGATGTTTAAACAATAGCACATGCATCGCTTCGCTGATGCGCATGCCTCTAAATATACCAAGGAAGAAATAAAAAACGAAAATTTATAGAAAATAAATCAAACCATGTTATGATTTGACTTGCAGCTATGTAGTATATCCCTTTGCTTTAAAGATACGGTGTTATTTTTGCAAAGTATGTAAATGAATCAACATAATTGAGAGATGACATCACAAAATACATAACATCTACGCCGTGGTTGGTGCCAGGAAAAATCCCCAGCTTTGGACTGGTCTGGACACTTAATATGCAGTTTCACCCACTGTCTGTTTTTGATAGCTCTCCATTCAGCTTAGTTAGGTTTAGCACAGGTGTCATTTTGGAAAACTGCTAAGGTTCCCAGACTGATGCAAACACAAACAGGGACAGCAGAGCTGTGCATCATGATGTCAGGGTGAAATAAATTCATCACCAAAATGGGATGCTAAGTGAGATCGTTGAGAATAATTTTGCTCATTGGAACCGGTAATAGAATCTTCATTGCCATGATCACTGTTGCACATGCTCAAGCGGATCCCTGGAAGACAGTAATGAAATTCAGAAAATGTGTTTCCAGATGGTTGTGTTGTGTGGTGTAAACAAAAGGAGAATGAATAATCATGAAATGAAATGTAAAACACAGTGTTGAAAAGAAATATTGGTGTCAACTATAGTGTTTGTGTATGTTTTCTTCTCTTTTTTTAATGTCCAGATCACATCATTCTGGATCAATGACTCCAAAATATATTGTCAATTCTGTCATACTGTGTGAATTGTAGAGTCTGTGATAAGTTGTTACTGGAGTGATTTTACACACAGCTAAAATTGTGTTCTTCTTTGGTGCATTAACAGTTTTTTGTGCTTAACACCATAATAATTAAATTAACCATCGATTTTTTATCACTGTTTGTTTAATTCTTTTACCATGATGTTTTAAACAGTTACATTACAGCCACATAAGAGATCAATAAAACAGACCAAATTGCTTGAATGCTTGCATGCATTTGTATTGAAGTGAATGAATTTAAATGAAACTGATTAATAATATTAGCACATAAATGCTATCTGCACGTCACATCGCTGTGAATGGGAAATCACTCTGACTTAGGGGAAGAATTGCTGGACTGATTGAGGAGGGAACATGTGAAAAAGCAGATAGATAAATAAACGAAATGCGATACACTCAAATGCTGAATCACAAAGCTCTATGCAGACTGTTGTATTGTTTTGCTATAAATTACTCTCTCTTGAGCTTCAGAGTTACAGCATTTCCCGAAGTGATAATTCATGCAGCCAGCTACAATGGCAACAAAGAGCTAATAAAAACTGATTAACTGTCTGCTCATAAATGTTTTAATGCATCAACCAAAGCCTGAGATCATAGGAAATGTCCTAAAGTCATCACTTTAGTAAAAGTTAAGTGATCCAGCTGAATATGTTTTCAGGCAGACATCCAGCCTCTTTCCTTAAACCGTTGAAGACAATCTTAGTGATTGCTCCGTCAGTGATATTTGCTGCCAAAGTCTTTTCATTCTTGGATGGACCATTTGATTAAGTTTGTATACCTGCTTTTATTTACATCTTTAGTCATACTCCTATGCAAGTTATGATAGAGAGATTGAATGGTAGACAGACATAGAAAAATATAATGCTACGGGTAAATATTTACTTATGTACTTAAATATGCCTTTATTTTTTATCAAATCATCACGAAGGATTAATAACACCACTCAGGAACTTTTTAATAATGCACTGACTTGTTTTTAAGTACACTGATACTTCTTGTGAACCGTTTTTACATGGAACCTGTCCTGGAGCGCACAGGGGTCCTGAGGTGCTGCAGTTTATTGAAAAGCCTCATGATAGTGTTGTTGATCAAAGCTGTGTACTTTTGTAAAAACTGCTACAAATGTGATTAGGCCAATTGTTCACATAAAGTGTCGATAAAGCCAGTTGAAATGTTGAAATCTAACACATAATTTGTCTGATTAGAATGCTTCGTCTTTGGTACATCATTTATGGCAACTTCCTTCTGATGGATCAGTGCCTGATAGATAAATGAGTGTGAACACAGTTTAATCGGTCTTTCCTCTGCAGTGGCCATTGTTAGGGCTCCCGGTAAGACTTATTTCCAACTGTGTTATGATTTTGTTCATGCAGATGTCCAATGTTTCCTAATCCACACAAATAACATGTTCATCATGAACTTCACCATGGATATCATCTCATAATTACGCAAGGCTTCACAGCCTAGTTGCAATTGGACTGATTGTGATAAGCTTATCAGAAGGCCAAATTAGGCTCTAACACACATACACCCAGCCGAAATGTATCCTGCCAGTTATTACAGCACATTTCCTTTTAAAAACTGCAGCCACACAGATGATCACACACATACACACTTAACACAAGTAAAACTATTGCTGCAGAGTGCTGCAGAAAACCTGTAGTCCCTCCCCTTGCTTTTATGACTCCGGAATACAGACTGCGAATAGAATAAGAGTGGGGGACAGAGTATAGAGGAGCAGTGATGCGCTGGCGTCCGGGAATGTGCAGGGCTTTAGTAACATGCTGAAAATGAACTTTAATGTATCAATACATTTCCCATCAAGGCAATTTGCTCACCGGAAGATGCTTTTTCTGAAGGCGAAACCAAAGTGGACGACCCAAGAATCAACAACCTATTTGATTTATTGTTTTTCTGAGTAAAGGTAAGTTCCTGGGAACCAAAAAGAAAATGTCTTCTCCTGGGATCAAACCACGGGAGCATGTGGACATGATGTACATCTCCATTGAGACAGCTATTGCCCTGGCCTCCGTGCTGGGAAACGTCCTGGTGGTGCTGGCGGTGTGTGTGAACCGGGCTCTCCGCAACACCACCTTCAGCTTCATCGTGTCTCTGGCTGTGGCTGATATCGCCGTGGGAGTTTTGGTCATCCCTCTGGCAATCATCATCAGTCTTGGATTTAGCACTCAGTTCTACACCTGTCTCATCCTCTCCTGCTTGTTGCTGATCATCACTCAGAGTTCCATCCTCTCGCTGTTGGCTATCGCCATTGACAGATATCTACGAGTCAAGATACCAACCAGGTGAGGCACTGCTGTGAATAGCAGCTGGCTATGGTTTCCAATGGAAAAGTTTGTTTGTCTCTGAAATTAAAAAAGGAAATTATTTAAATGAAATAGTGATCCGTTTCACACAGATTGTTGTGAATGTGAAGTTTGGTAGTTAGAGTATCCTAAAATGTGTTAATAAATCATGAAAGTAAATTTTCCTAATAAAGGAAGGGACTAAAATATAATGTGACTGCAGTTTCTCATCCACTGAAAATTTCAAAATGTTACTGTTTCTATGGTAAACTGTGCTTTCAACAAAACTTTCGTTTTATGGTAAAACTGAAAAAAACAGTAGTAGTTTTTCAGTAAACTTTATTCATTATTTAAAGTGAAGCAATTTTTTAATGTATTTTAGTCTATCATGCCAAATTGCAGAAAACGTTATGTTGAGGAACTTTAAAGACAGTTCAGTTCAGCCAAGATCTCAATGGATGTTTTCAGCTTCAGAGAGAATGAAGACCAGATGCTCCGTGCGTGGACATCCTATATACTGTAGCACAATATATCATTGCCGTTTTCTTGTAAATCAATAGGCTGGATATCAGAACCTTTTAGGAAAATTAGAACGTCCCTGTCTGACTGAATTACTGAATTACTGCAGACTGTAAATGGAGCTGGCAGACACCCATACTAATGTTTGTTTACCAGTTGGATCCTGATATCAAAAGTTGGCACCTGAGAAAAATGCTTCCGAGAAATAAAGACTGGCAGTTTTTCAGAGATACCATTACAGTGGCAGGTGGGTGCATTAAGGTGATTGGAAAACTGACGTTTCTTTTCTCATTATGCTTTGCAGATACAGCCTCATAGTGACCCAAGGGAGGGCATACGTGGCAGTGTGCCTGTGTTGGATCCTCTCCTTTCTCAGTGGATTGGTACCAATGATTGGCTGGAATAACCGTGATGCCATCAGAAACCTCAGCAGTTCCAGTGAGATTGTCTGCGAGTTCACCAACGTCATCAGGATGGACTACATGGTGTATTTTAATTTCTTTGGCTGGGTGGTGGTACCACTGACCATAATGATCATTCTGTATGCGGAGATCTTCCGAGTGATCCGGCAGCAGCTTAACCGCCGTGCTCAGGCCACATGTGACGGAGAGAGGTATTACCGGAAGGAGCTAAAGCTGGCCAAGTCACTGGCATTGGTGGTCTTCCTTTTTCTTCTGTGTTGGCTGCCAATACACATCATGAACTGCATCGTCTTCTTTAGTCCAGAGTGGGGCATGCCCAAGTTTGCCATGTATACAGGGATTTTCATGTCCCATGTGAACTCAGCCCTGAACCCGATGGTTTATGCTTTCAGGATAAAACGGTTCCGTCTCACACTGATCCAAATTTTCCGCCGTTGCATGTTATGTAAACCTGCACAGCCGACTGCATGCCCCACCAGCACTCCAGGCCTGACCGAGAAAGAAGACGTAAAACTGTAAGGACAAGGACGACGTTATGATTTTTTAAAACCTGTTGTCAATGAGAGTTTTTTGGTGACAATTGGAGTATTATATGAACCACTGGGATAATAGATTAAATACACAGGGAATCAGTTACTTTCAGTGAATGGCAAAAATGTTAATTTGTGACTTAGTTACTTATATTTAAATCACAGTGACTTGCTTGAGTAGAAAAAAATAAGGCACCGCAATCTGCTTTACTTAATTTTAATTCAGGTTAGACTTGACAAAAAAAATAAATAAAAAAATAAAGTTGAACAGTCTGGGAATTGATGGAGTTAAGGATGAACTTGCTCATGAATACATGCAAGCCATTTAGTTAACATAGTCAAATTGGGTAAAACAAGCATTCAAACCATTTTGGAACAAGACAAAACTCTCAAGGAAATAAACCTATAATTATCTTCAAATAACAAACACACTGACAACTGATGTTTAGAAAGTCATGAAAGAAAAACTGTGAGAGGTTGTATCAAGGAAGCAAGTTTCTTCACATTGCGAGGTTGAACAAATCCCCAGACCCACACATTATAATCGGTCACATATGTTCCACTTTTTGTAAACTCTCACTTTACGAACCGTAGTTGCTGATGCATGATAACTGTCATCCATCCAGTCATCAACTTTTATGGGAATGGGTTACAAAAGCAACGGACGGGGAAAGATCCACAACTTCCAGCTCAACAGCCATCTCCAGCAGCTCTTCTAGAGAAATACTAAAGCATTCCCCAACCAGTTGAGTGATCATCTCTTTGGTGCGTCATGGGCTTGCCTGAAGCCTTCTCCCAGTGGAACATTACCCGATATCCAATCGCATCCCCTGGGAGAACACATTCGGACTATTTTTGTGTCCACAACATTATTTGCTTTATACCACTGTTTAAAACAAAGGGAATTTCTCCTAAATGGATGGACCATTTTAAAACATTTTGTCTCATGCCTTTTCTACAAATCAACATCTCTATATTTCACCATTTACTTTTAAAAGAATATGTTTTTTTCCCTTTAAAATACTACATGTAGAAATGACTATTGTTTGAAACAGTACTTTGGGGAAAAATGTAATGAAAGCTTGCTGTTTATGCTAGAAGCAAACTCATACTCACTGATGTCATCATGATTAATGCTTTTAGTTGCATTCATGTCTGTCCAAATACCATGGTAATCCATCAGGGATTTGTTTAGATCAATCTGAACCAGCTGATGGACTGAGTGAAAACGAAATTAGATTTGTCATGAAGGATCCATTCAAGAATCATAACTTCCAATGTCCGCAGGTCACATAAATAAAAGGAGAGGAGTCAAAATGATACGATTTATGAGACTACGGTTGATAGAACATTCGCTGTGAGCTCTTTGTATAACAGAAACCACTCAATACGGAGAGAAATAAAAAAGTCCTGCTTTGACTGCAAATTAACAGTAAAGTCACTTCCTTAAATGAAGCAGAACTCTGGCAGGAGCGAAGCAATTGAAGCCCAAGTCGTTATCGCTGGAAGCAGAGATCTCTTCAGCTAATTCAGCTGGTTGAGGCCATATTTCAGAGGCTGGGGCAGTGAAGTGAAAGGCTTGGGAGCATTTGAGTAAATTACCCTCAGAGCATTATACTGAGGTGATTTATTCCAAGTCTAAAGCTAAAGCTTCTGCATCAGCTCTGCTTTGTCATCAGTTTGACTTCTGCTTAATTTCAGCCAAAGGTTCTTCAATAAACTAAAATAAAAAGTACATTCAGATTTGTGCCTTTGAATTATTTGTAATCATTAGAAACCAACTTTTGTTTACTTTCAATACGAGTCAGCTTGACGGTTCATATACATTTACAGTACTCTGAATTGTGAACACAGAGAGACCCTCCCCCATTCCTCACTGTCTCTCAATCACCAGCACATTAATACGTATATTACCATCTGTCACCTTCATCTTGCTGAGGGATTTGAATCTGCTGAGTGAGGTTTAATCCTCAGCCCTTATTAGTGAGGTAGGTGCGGCATACCCAACGTGGCATTTACTGCCTTCACACCCTGTGTCTGTCCTAATAAATGCTGAAGGAGCAGAAGCATGGTGTAGCTTTGGAGTGAAAAGGGCAAGAGCCTCGGTTTTGTGTTTGATTCCTATCTAAAGACAAATCATCTACAAGGTAAGGAGGCTCTATCCAATAGAAAACCTTGATCTTTTATGCTTTTAACAAAACCCAGCTTTACTGTAGCAATTATTTTGTTGAGTAATACCTCACAGACCTAATAAGGGAACTTACCTTTGCATTAGTAGATCGTGAAAAAAAAATGGCTGACACAGATGAAGCAGAAGAAAGACATGACCCAGAAGCTCAAGAGGAAAACATGGATGATGAACACCAAGCATTGCTGCACCTCAGTAAACACGGAGAAACTCGACGTACACTACCATGGCAGCAGTGGACCTTCAGGGAGAAGGCCAACTATTGCATAGACCGCATCTTCCTTGGGTTTTTGGCCCTCTTTTTATTGGTTTTGTTGGCTGAATGTATTTATAAAATCTGGTACGTGTCAAACCTGAAGAAGATTGGAGAATTTGTATCAGAACTAGTAGTCTTTCTCTTTGACTGGCTTTTCACGCAGGACAGGCACGAGGAGCTGGCTGAATTGTAAGATGTTATAGAAGGTCCATAAGTTCACTGTAAAATCACATTATGGTGTTTTCTACAATGTTTTAGTGCAAACTGGTGACAGGAATATTCATTTGTGGATCACAGCTTAGCTACATCTGAACTCTTGTAACAATAATTTCACAACTTTATCTCTGATTATGACTGAATTAGAATAAACCTTGTGTGAAACTAACTGTCTCATTGGATTTAAAGCCCGAAAACAAATTATTGAGGTGGTAAAGATTGGAAATTGTTCGTTCAACAAATATGTTTACATTTGGAATTTCCGACTGTCAGAAATATTCATGCAAACTAGAAAAATGTTTTTTTTTAAAAAGCTATGCTTTCAAAATTAACAAAGACAAAATATTGATCCATACGTTCATTTTCTATACATGCTTAATCCATTTCAGAGTTATGGGATGCTGGAGCCAGCTGTGACTGTGAGAAAGTCAGGACCCAGGATGGTGGGAGTGAAGCAATTTTGTACGCTCAGTGAAACTCCTAAAGATGACTTAAATTCAGTAATTTCCTTTCAATTATTTATTTTTTTCTGCACGAGGGGAACATCCAAAGTGTGCACATAAAGGGATTCAAAGCATTGTTGTGTCAGACAACCGTACCAACCATCACAACATAAAATCCTGTTATACAGTGTTTTACTGCTTTCAGGTCTTGAAAAGCAGCTCGGAAAAATGACTGAGTAGTAAAACACCATCATGGATTAAAGGCAAGATCGGGCTAACCATATAGGAAAGCCCTAAAAATGTTTAACATTTTCTGTTATTTATATTGGAGTGCACCAAATTTGTTGAGAATCCGGGGAAAAATCTTTACATTTTTTTGCCAAGGGACACATTTTGGTTAACAACTGATATTGAAAAGTCCATCGTGGTAAAAGCATAGCATGAACTCAAAGACACTTCTGAAAACACTTTCACTGTTTCAAGGGGCATGTTGTCCACAGAGATGAAAAGAGTTCAGGGGCACCAAGCTTGTTAACTGTTATCACCACAGTTCATAAAACTGTGGGGCTACCTGGATTCAGCAGTTACAATGTCGGGTTTAGTATCTTGCTCATAGACTCTTAAGTACGTGAAATTAAAAGTAGGATAAAGACACCACTTTTCAAACAACAATAACGAGTTGATCTCCTGATCTCAATTACAAATGTCATGAGGACACTGAACAACTATGTCTACTTTGGCATGGGGGGAATATGCAGTTTAGTGGTGTTTTTATGCTTAAAATAGGTTTCTTATTTTTTAAAGAAACACGTGGCTTTTGTAATACATAATGCTGCAACTGAATTAGTTCAACTGGACCAAACACAACTAAAGGAGATTGGTTTTTGGCTGGCCCAGTCATCAACAGGACCCCTCTTAAATTATTATTTTTCTATAGTAATGTTCCTACAATCCCCAGTATAAAATAGGCATTAAAAACATACAATATAATTATGTATTCGTATATTCAAACATGGATAATTCATATGAAATAAGAAAATGCAGGACAACAATAGACTTGATGACGTATTTTCTTGCACTCCTGTTAGCCAATGAAATCCAGGTACTTTCTTCATTACAACTTCCGGTAACACCCCTCTTCCTCTTCCAGACATCACAGCGTGACCGACGTTTCGTGTCTATTTAGACTTAAAGTAAGTCCACATTTGCCCCCTTTCAATTACAACGAGATTATGGGTATTAGAGTTTTGATAAAACGTGCATTTTACTGTACTCTTTTATCCTCACTAAATGGGTATTTATGAGCTCATTTGTCAAAAACGGAGGGCACATTAGACATTGGGCGCCATGCTTCCTGTCGAAGCACACGCTATAAATAACACGGTTAGGATTACTAAATATGTTGTTACAGGTTATTTTTACGACGAACCACCTTCAGTACACATATTGTTTCTGTTGTTGCATCTTTGTTAAAGTATGAATGATCAATCCTTTGTTTATTATAGCGACAACGTTGCTAATGTTTGCTAGGCGAACGTCACAGCCCCACTTATCCTCTAGTCAAGTGTTTACATGATATCTGAAATATCGGCATTTTTGGTCTTTGCATGTTTTTTTGTTGTTGTTTGAATTAACGGAATTGTACCAAAGGTCTGCAGGTTAATAATTTTCTCATTATACCATACATGGTTCAACGTTTCTAAACATAAAACATGTCAAAGGTGAGTGGTGCCTTATAGTGAGTCGCAGCACTGAACTGAGTTTAAAAAGAATTGCAGTTATTTAATCAGAAGTTGAAGATATTACTGACCAGATTATATGTATGATGTAGGAGGTATCATACTCTGGTTAATTTATGTTCTATGGTCTCATCTCACTCGAGCTTTTTTAGCATCACGTCTTGACGTCAGCTGATCTTTATACATTTTGATGAATAAGTCTTTTAAAGTATTTTCCTCGCCATTTATTTATGACAAAGGCATTCTTTAGTATGATTAAACACCTTAAAGTGAATATGTTGGAGTTGAACAATGTAATAAATTCATGTTCCGTAATGCAAATGGAGAAACGAGACGTCTTATTAGATTGGCAAATGGAGATGATTCTAACCGCTTGTTTTTCTTTTATTCTTTGTACAACTTCACACACAAACTGATTGGGCCTCGTTTTGTTCCCCACAGAATGCGTTACGTGGCCGCTTACCTCCTCGCTGTGCTCGGTGGAAACACCAGCCCCTCTTCAAAAGACATCAAGGACATCTTGGGCAGCGTGGGAATTGAGGCCGATGACGAACGTTTGAACAAAGTACAGCATCTATGAGTCTTTTATTGTAATGTCTATTTGAGAGCTTTCTTTATATGGTGGGACTTGACCTGGTTTTGTCCATACAACAGGTCATAAGCGAGCTGAATGGGAAGGACATCAATGAAGTCATGAACTCGGGTAAAGGCCTTTCATTGAAATGAACTGTGGAGCTTAAGGGGTTTATACTTGCAAGTTGTCTCAGTCAGCTTCCCCCCCCCCCCCCCCCCCCTCTTTTTCAGGCCTCTCCAAATTAGCCTCCGTACCAGCAGGTGGGGCTGTAGCAGCGCCCGCTGCTGCCGCCGGGGCGACTGGAGCCGTGGCTGCGCCTGCTGCTGGTATGTGCAAACCTCTGACATGCTTAATGTATGCTTTCAAAGGCAGTGCTGAGTTTATTTTCCCTCTAAATCACACTATCATTGGTCAGTTGAATACATTCGAATATCGTATCAAATCTTTTGCTCATTTCTTTACTTAGTTTTGTACATGACAGCATGGTTGTAATGTTTGTTGCTTGAACTGTTTTCCTGTATTCAATTTTCAGCGGAAGAGAAAAAAGAAGAGAAGAAAGAGGAATCAGAAGAGTCAGACGAAGACATGGGCTTCGGACTGTTCGATTGATCTGCCTTCTCTGTATTCAAAATGCAATAAAAACAGAAAATGGTTCACACAATTATGTTCTTTTGTTCTTTAATTGGTTTAAAACTTGTCTGCTCTGATCGTGACAGTGATGAATTTGAAGTGAACAAATACTTGCAGTGAAGTGTTCCAGATAAAAAAGGTTCTGGGCCATGATGAAAGCTGTTCCCCCACACACCTAAGAATAGAGGGCAGGATGGTCTGCGGCTGTGGTCAGACTGTCTCTCATATGGCCTAAGACACCATAATACCATTGAAAAGTTAAGCAAAGAGCCACTTTGAGGTCTCACCACAAAATGTGGTTTGTTAGCGTTTAAGGGCTTTGTGTAGAGTTGGTGAAGGCTGTCTCTGTTAAGGAAGAAGGCTTTGTCAGACACGGATGATTGCCAGCGTTTAGGTGTCCCAAGTTATTGGAAAGCTGTTGTGAAACAGGTTTGTCAGCTAAGAGGAAGTAAAGTAGTGGATGGTGATTATTCTTCTTTCTGGTTTGATTGGCAGATGAGTTTAGAGAAAAATAACAAGTGAGTCACAGCAGACCTTTGCATCTGGGCCAGCAGCATTAGTCATTGCTTAAGATGGTTACACCTTTTGTGATTTCATGTTCATTTAGCTTTTATTCTGACAGCCCATTTAGTCACAAAGCATGGGGACAACTTTGAGCAATCCCAAATTTTTCCTCAACCTGCCTGTTTCCACGTCCTGTTATTCTCGTCTTTTGTAGATGCCCAAATCAGTGTTCACACTACAATACATTAACTTTCAATAAGAACAAGTGTGCAGTAAAGCAGTGATTGAATATCATAACTTGTTCATTAAGCGGTTGGCGTGCTTGTGCCCGTCTCTGGAGCATGTGTTGTGTTGCTTGCACAAAAATTCCCCTGTTTTTCCAGCTGATTGATTCTTCTTTAATCATAAAACTGAGGGACTACCACTCGTAACTCAAACTCTGCATGCTGCAGATCAGTTATACAGTCATGCTAGCATTATGTGTAATAAAAGTAAACGCTGTGGTTCTAATCGTTAAGCCATTGTAGTTTAATGCTCTGAACATATGTCTGATTTACTGCAAATCATTTAGCTGGGCTGTTTATGCCGGCACAGTAGTTACTGCCAGGACATGCTCAAATCCTGCACAGGAATGTGTTTTTAATGAAAGGCACAAACCGATGCTGCAGGCTGTTTCCAGCTGAGGAGAAGTTAAATCTGCCTTTTCATGAATCTTGAAGCAGCATCTTTGTTTTTCTTACTTTATTACCCCCCCCCCCCATTTTGCAAATTCAAATGTGATTGTATTACGTTTATGTTATGAATAAAGTAAAATACTTTGTTTCATGAAGTCATGCTTGGCAAATAAATTTGCCTTGTTTTTATTTCAGAATGTTTGATCATTATGGGGGTCATTTAGATGCCTTATTACGTTTAATAAATATAGTAATAGACTAAAACTAAAGTTATTTGTTAACAGATGTACCTGCGAGCATGAGGATTAGTTTTTACAGTTATGTGGACGATGTGCCCATTGATGTGAAACCCAAATTGTATAGCTAAATGAACAGAAATGAAAAAAAAATGTTTAAAAGACGATCAAGTGACTTCAGCTATTCTGAACCCGTTCAGCCTGCTGCCTGTCATCTCACCGCTGGCCATTTTCATTCATTCAAAGTCACAAATTTCTTATTTTTTCATTATTGGATGATTACGAGTTTGTAAAGGAGCAGTAAAGGATCAAATCGTCATGGCGCCCACTGTAACTGATGTGTTTGTCTTGCTCCTCCAACACTGAAAAGAAACCTTGTTAAAAACTCATTTGAATAATAATAAATTTGATATCTTTTATTTTAGTTGTCCATATGAATGCCAGCATTCATAGCGAAACACATTTACAGTATTTACAGTAATATTGAAAAAGCGATTAAAATGGCTGACATACATTCAAGACTATTGCACTGCTGTTGGTATTTTTCACAAATCAACAAACAGGATTCACAGTTCAAAGAGAATTGCATCTGTAGTGTGGCCAGAGTAACGGAGGCTGTTCTAACGCAGAGCTAAGAGCGGTGGATTACTGTCACGGGTGTGATCAGGGAGATCTCAATCTGTTGACGTTCCGTGGTAAAGTTAATTCTTTACTTCCCTCACACATACCACCGTTCATACCGACAGTTTAGGCCTATTTTCAGTTCTAAAAGAAAAAGCAACTGAAGATTTCAAACATTTTTGTGTCTAACTGGAAGCCTAAATATGTGTTAGGCTGCCTTTAGCAATCTTAAAAAAGGAACTTGCGCCGGCAACGCAACTATAACCACAACTGCGAAGCTGTGGAGGGCTGAAAGAAATGGCTGTTTCGGTTTTGTTTCGGAGGAGAAGAAACTCAGTCATCGCAGTCCGACCACGGGTGATCCGTGCAGGCCTGTGGGAGAAGTGGAGAGGTCAAGACTCACAGCAAGAGTTTTCTGTGCTTATAAATACACAAACACACACATTTGGTCTGATTCTTACCTGTGTGTACTGAAACCTGTCCTGCAGATAACGGTTCCCGAGGCCAGTGATGTGGCAAATGTTTTGTCTGGAGAGCCCGGCGATCCTGGCCGTGAAGTCCAGAGTGAAGGCCAGCTTGACCAGCTCGGGCGCGGTGGGCAGCACTGAGGGAGTGCTGTGGGGAGTGCTGTGGGTTGGCGTTGTTTCTTTCTCCAGATATTCATCTGCCAGCCTCTGAAAGGAGGAGTAGGTCATACCCTGGAAGAAGTTGCTGAGGGTGGGGTTCTCCTTCAGCTGGACAAGAGATGAGAGAACAGGCCTGTCAGTATTTCAAGTCATCAGTGGGGTTTAAAATAGTCTAACCTGCAGCCTTTGGAAGCTGACAGCTTTATTAGAGCTTAAATTGATTTCTCATTACATTGACCACATGTGCTATAATTCAGAATATAATTTAGTGTAAATTAGAAACCGCAAAACTGTCAAACTCATAAAAAACTGGTCCAAGCAACAGTCCCAGTTTAAAGACATTCAGTAAATAACCAAACTAGGAAAGGTTAAGCAAGAACGAAGCTACAATCTTCATAAATAGCTGAAAAATAGAAAATATTTTTGCTTGATCTGATACTTCAAACTCTATCGGTCAGTAAATCAGTGACTCATTATTCATCCCACTTTCCATTTAAACTTTAAAACCTACAATCAGTTTCCTGGAAAATAGATTCAAAGAAACAAGCAGCAGTGCACCAATCACATGACAACACTGAGTTTTACAGCAGGCTTTTATGACTGTTAATCGCTTTCACATTTGTTCTGGCTGTAGTCACAGGCACAGCAAGAAAAAATCTTTAAAGAGGCTGAAAGGAGGAGGAATAAACTGTTCCACAATATGGACATGGCACTTATAATCTCATACAAGGACCAACAACCACTCACACTCACATTCACTCCTAAGGGCAATTTCCCCAATCTCCAATCAGCCTAACATGCGGTATTGATAATGGATGGATGGACTTATAATCTCAAAAGACACTATGCGTGACTCATATAATGATTTGGATGCATGATTTAAGGAAAGTACCTGTAGTACTTCATCAATAAATCCCACCAACCTTGTCATCTATGGCATCACCCTGGCTCTTTGTCAGTGCAACGATCCTGTTGATGACTTCCTCTAAGAACAATAAAAAAACAAAACAGGAATAAATAGTGTGCTAAAAATGGACTTCAGTTTTTTTTTGTTTTCTTTTAACACAAGTTGGTGCCAGTTCTGATCTCATTTTAAATATTTCTCTTTGAATGGAAAACTAAACAATATCTTACCATCTGAAAGAGTTTCCACTTCCTCGTTCACTTTGACCTCGTGTACAATTCTTTCCAGCTCCTCCGACACTTTCTCATAGTAAGAATACGTTGGTTCCACACTTACGACAGCTGCAAAGCACGAGTTTAGCCGTCCGTTAGTGGACGTCCACAACAGCCACATGTGAATTGAGCAACAACGCATTGAACAAACATCGCTAAGCCAAATTCATCTTCTCACTTGCCTTCCACTCCGGTAATGTCTGCAGGGTTTAGATCCTTCCCAGGTCTGTTTGGTCTTATGAAAGACAGGCGCTTTTTGGAAAACTTTCTCTTTAAAGTCTTTTTGCTCGAGGACCTCTTTGGCAGGGTGACCGGAGTGGCGGGCCGGTCAGCAGACACGGCATCGGAACCATCAAACACATCCGCCGAAGGCTCTTCCTCTTTATCCTCATTGCTCTTCCGCGAGAAAAACCCAACCACGCTTTTCCAAAACGAAGGTTTCTTGCTCTTCTTGGACTTCTTTTTGGTCGCTTTCTTTGCCTCTACGGAGGGTTTCTCGGGCTGCTCCGTTGGGATGTCCGGCACAAAAGCGGGTCCATTTCTGCAAGGGGCCTCGGCCAAGTGAAGAGACGGGTCGCTGGACGACCGCCTTTGCTTCGGGGCCACCGTCACCCACTTTCTTTTCCTCTCTCCCCGAATTTCCCTCGCCGCGCCGTCGTTCAGGCTGACGCTGCGCTTGATGTAGACCTCCAGGAGCCGGATGGTGTCCTTGTGAGGCACGCTGATCAGCTGGCCGTGCGCCGGCCTTTGCTTTCCAGCCTGTCTCTCCATGACGGGCTTCTGAAAAATAAAAAAACATCACACACCCCAAAAGGATTTCAGCGTTGATTCATCCATTTCCCCCATCAGAAATCACGCCATGTTCAATACGCGTTTTTGGAGAATGCTTAACAGCTCCCAGTTAAATTTTCGAGAAACCAATATCAGATCGGTTTGTATGAACTTAGAAAGTGAAAATGAAACGTGTCCACTGCCTCGTTTGACGATCATCTCAATAACAGTGTATATTCTGTGTTCTATATTCAGTGTAGGTTTTTAGAATTTTACGAAACCAAACACTGATTATACTAACCTGTAAAATGTCAGGCATGTGTTAGTTGAAGCTAAAATTAAACTCAGATGCTGGTTTATCCTATAAGTTTATGTTGTCTCATCAACCAGATGTTGAAAAGTCAGAAAACAGTTAAACCATACAATCTATACAAAGCAAACGATCAGATGACTAACATGGTGGTTACATTTTTCGACATGTTAGATCAAAGACACGCTGACTGTCACTGTTAAATTCCTCTTTTTAACACGTATGCGCTCGACTGTAAAATAAGAGCAAAAATGGCCACAGGTCTAACATCTGTACACTCACCTCTCCGGGAGAAAAGTCCTTTTAATCTCCAGTAAGGTCTGTATATGTTCAGATGGTGTGAAGGAGTGTTATGCGGCAGATTGACCTGAATTAGTTTTTATAAGATGAGAGGACAAAGTGCGTGTGCCTCTCCGAACAGACTCAAACTCCCTCCGTATTTGGACACGTCGCGCCTCCTCCCTCACCTGTCTGTGGGAGCCGTCATCGTTGGGGGCGGGACTGGTGGAATTTTTCACCTGTTTGCGCTCCAGAGAACACGTCAGTCTCACTTGTTTACGGTTTCTGCTCGGTTGCGCAGGATAGGAGTTCCTGGTCACGTTTTCCAGGAAGTGAAAGAGCACCCTCTATTTCTTTTGTATAGCTGGCCTTCTTCGGTCCAAATTACTTTCATCACGAATGACAAATAAAATAAAAAAAAAATAAAAAACATTTGAGCTTCTTTTTAAAAATGAGTAAAATTTTATTTCTTTATATATATTTTTTTATATTTTGAATATCTCAGTTTCTATGTTTAACTGGTTTAAAAAAACAAATGGTTAATCATAAATTTAGCTAATTTCTTAATTTGTTAAGCAACGTATTTCTAGCTAAAATCTTGTTCTTTCAGAACTTTCGGAGTAATAGCTCTAAACCTAAACCAATCAACCACACCTAGTACAAAACTGGCAAATCGTTGCAATGAACAATGCTAAATAAATAGATTTTTTCAGTTTATCTGCAAGAATGAAAAAATCTGTTTAGTCTCAGCCAGATTCGGTTTCCCAAATGACTGACTTTTGCTACATATTATTGTTATGTATTAGTTTTTTCAATGGTTTTGCAGTTGTTTTGAATGCAGCAGGTGACCGAACTGACCAAACCGTTATGACCTCACCTCAGACAGTTCCTGATTTGAATAGCCAGCCTGCCCTGGGTCAGCAGCATGAACTCTGGTCTGAACCTTCCTGTAAAAGGGTTGGGATCTGAGTAAACCTCATTTACTGCAGTCATAGATGTTGTTCCCCTTTTTTAATTTCACTATCGACTGTCTGTTTTTTTTATGGTCCATGAAACTGACTTTATCTGTACTTTCTTATCTAGCTCGTTTACTGGAAACAGCAACTAAAAGCAATGCCAACAAAAAAGCCAACTGCTGACTTCTGGATATCATTGGATATTGTTTATTTCACTTGTAATATCAGAATTTACACAAATTTCAAAATGCTCATATCAGAAGGGGCTGTGACACATTCCTGAATTACTTTGGCGCTCTCAAGAAATTCCCAAGGAATTCCAAATACAAAAGAATGAGCCAATCTGTAACATTTTGATGTTTGCAGATTCTGTTAAAACAGTCCAACAGTGAAACTACCTGCAATATTCAGTGTTTTTGTCCACTTTAACTGGAACTGAATGTGATTCTTTCAAATTTGTGCTTATGTTCATGGTCACTGTAATACAACAGAGAGGCCACAAGATGTCACAATCAGCATCTCTGCAGAATAACACATCCTGCAAGTGTGTCACGTATGTCTTTATTAGGCAGCTGCCGGATATGGATAGTATTTTCCACCACAAAAAAAGAAAAGAGAAATCTTAGCACTAAACCTCTAACTTACAACCTACTTTATAGTGCACTCTAACTCATATCCGGAAAAATATTACACATTTTTATGACCATTTCAATGGCAAGATGCAATGTCAGCTTTGCTTTTATACACCTGTGATGAGCCTGTAAAGTATTTTGCATAGTTGAAAGGCTGTAAAATCATTGAGACTCTGCCTTTTCCTGTTGTAAAATGTTGTTTATACACAAATATATTGCTGGTTATGTAGCACAATGCTGTAACAACGTCAGGGGACATTTTTCTGTCTAATCACTTCCTCAATGCTCTTCTGATTGTAACATATTTTGCTATTTAGAATAAATATTTCCATGCAAGGCTTTCACACATAATAGGGTCTTTTTCCAACAATAACAGTGATAAAAATTATCTTCATATCTGACTTCTTGGTCAGAATATAAAGTGAGTTGCTTAGAGCAAGTTGAAGAGATACTTTTGAATGAAGTGACACTGAAATTAATTGCAAAGAAGAAAGACTAAAAATTAGAACTGTGTTTTTTTCTGTACAGCAGACTTTGCTGTTGCCAAACTAATTAGGTAATTATCTGTGTGGTGCCATGTAGACCTATCTCTGTACTACACTCAGCTAGAAGGCTGGTTTTCTTTACAGAGTCATACAGTTTTAGCCCTCTAATTATGCCCTCTGAAATTTCCAGTCCGTGCAGTTGTGTAAAGCATCCCGTGCTCATCTTTATGCAATTTTCCGTGTCCTGTCTGATCCCAGTTGATACTTTAGGTCACCTTCTTCATTTTTCATGGGTGCTAAGTTGGACAAATGAGAGACTCATATTTCGTCCACAAGGGCTGGTCATTGACCTCCGGAGAGGATGCACTGCTTCGGAGCAGTCACCCTGCTCTTACCTGTCGTAAATCTTGATCTCTGTGGGTTATTACTCATGCTGTCTCTGTCGGGGGATTCCACTTTCCAATTCTCAAATGATGCATGGGTTTGGCAGACAAGAAACAAGTGAAAAAACAAGTTTATACATGTTGGCTAAAAATGATTGATTCCTTCATAAAACAGAAGCCAAATACCTGAATGTTTTCTGAGATAGAGATGAGCTGTTAAAGCTTGTCAACCCTCATGTGCTGAAGTTCAAAGTGATTTAAGCTGTAAACCTAAGTTGAATAACAGTTGAGGACATGTCTTTTGCATCTAAAACATGACTTGGAATGGAATATCTTGCTGCATATCACTGGAGGTTCCATACATAATCTGATACATAATCTGTTAATGGGTTGCATTATTTCATTTTCTTATCCAAAAAAGGGGATGGCTGTGATTGTTGATACAGTAATAATTGGCATTACTGACAAGCAATTCTCAGGATAGAGTTCCAGTTCTTTTTCCTGTTTTAGTCTGTTTGTAGCTTTGCATCCCATTGTTTCCTAAAATGAAAATCTTTAAAACCAGGTCACAACTTCGATCAACACGTACACTTTTAACGGGGCACAGTGATTCCCTTAATCAGCTGGACTCTGACTCAGCAACTGGTGATAAAAAAAGGAATTATGATTGCATATGCTGGAATCTATTTTCAGTTTTGGGTTAATGCATATTGGGTGCTCTGAAGAGTAGTCACTGCAGCAGAATTATGTAAATGGGGCAATCTCAAATACACTGGGAGCTTTTGTTCATGGTAATGAGAGAACCAGTCACTCTGTGCAACTCTGTGGCTTATAGATTATTTTATGCTTTTTCATGGCAAAATAAGATCAGCAATGCAGAGAAATGAGATACATGAAGTCATGGCCCTATGCACCATTCCTGTCTTTGGGGATCCTTTCACTGTAGGTAACAAAAATGTGAACAAAAATAAAAGCTCATACACAATTTAAAAAAAGCTATATGTATATATATATATATGTCTCCTTGGATTTCTTCATATGAGTCCTTTTGTTCTAAAATAGAGTATGAATGTAATGCAAAACTCGTGTCTGAACTTTCTTGGTCAGCAAAGTCAGGGTAGAGAATCCCTGGCTCAAGTAATATTGTAAGTGAGCTCAGTTGAACTTTAATCAATATTAAACCTGCGAGGATTGCTTTGGCGCTCAGCGTTACACCTGCCATGATCCAGAGTAGCGCTGCGTTCACACTTTGATCAAAAATGTAACAGCAAGGTCATCTTGTGTGTGGACTTTCATCCGGAGTTGCAGCGGCAGAAAGAAACAGGACACTTTTAAGGGATTAATTTAAAGCTTGGTCCCGGTGATTTTACCCTCTGGAGGGCGTGAACTACAGTACACAGGCTGCTGTCTGTGCTGCCCTGAAATTGGCTGAACACGTTTGCTGACAATACAGTAACCCAATATGCTTACTTGAAACCCACCGTCTGAGCCTTTGTGGCCATTGTTTCTTTTGGAGTGGAGCTCGTCACAAGTTTAAAGAGTAAAAGCAAGAACTGTCAGGTTCAGTGTGTATTGTTGCTTGGAAGGTTGTTGAACAGTCTGCTGTGTCACAGTGAGTGGGACATCTGCTGGAACTTTGACTGGATTTCTCTGGGTGAATCTTTATCAGAGGCAGGCTGGATGTGATCTCTTCATGGAACACCCCATGAATTATAAATGACAGCTTCTCTTTGCTTTTGACCTTGCCTAAGCCACCAGCCTGTTAAATGCTAAAATGCTACAAGAGCTCGTCTTTAAGATATCACTGTACGATCAGGGATCAGGACGGTTCACCAACTGAGTGTTAACTAGTGACCATGCCAACAAATGACTAGGGCAAAGACAGTCAGCAGAAGACATGTCCAGATGCAGATTCCATGTCAAAAAACTAGAATTCCAACCAAAATGTTGGCAAGTTATACTTAGTTTAATTCCACTAAGAATGCATCCCTGATGGTAATGTATTGGGCAAAGTAGCAAGTGAAATAGCCAATGGACAGTCCTGGATACCAAGATAGATAATCTAATTAATAATGAATTTGGTTTGCATAGTTAATTTGGTGCTTTTGCTTCTGAGGTAGGGACTATCCTGGCACTTGAATTTCGCACTGGAATTTCTCCATCGGAAAGCTAATGTACCTGTCGTATATTTTTGGAAATATCCCAAACAGCTAAACAGCCCCCGCACTGTGTCCGTTTTCCATTCACATATCTTATAATCCTTTTTGATCTTCCTACCTATTCATAGCAAGACTGTGTTCTCCTCATTTCTTAATTTTCTAAAAGGCTCGTTAGACTCCACAGAAAGATGTGCTCCTTAAACCGGCCACCTACACCGTCTCAACACATATGAATAGATCATTTTTATATCAATACTACAATAAATGAACATGAAGCTGGCTCTTAGTCTTCTTGTGATACGACAGGCATCACTGGGAAGGAAATTTCTTTTTTCATCATGGTATCAGTAATAAGAATGAGCACCAAGGAGGCGTTAATAACAGCCAACATGAGGTGCTAATGAGTGTTCAGCCCTAAAGCCATACGCTGACACTTACACCTCCATTCATCACTATTATAATTAAACTCAGGGAGAACGGAGTAAAGTTAAAACCCTTGAATGTTCTCGATCATGGGTTTATTTCATCCAAGATATTTCAACTGAATGAAAATAACTTTCCACATTTAGGATACGTGTTTAATGAAAGGCACTCTTTTCAGAATAAATAAAACATAGCAAATTATGACACTGTGTACTGTACAAAGTTGACACATACAGTAACAGTCCTCTCACTTTTAATACTTCTTAACATTGTAAAGTGCTGATTACTGAAGGGACCAACTCATGTCACCTTGTTGCATTTCAGTTTGAGTACAGTTATTGCCTTTCCAGTGGCTGAAAAAATAAAACATTCCTGGTTTAAACCCACACCGTACTAAATATTTAGGATTATGTTAAAGGATGACAGACTTACTACTACATTCACTGACATTTCAGTACAAGCCATATTCGTTAGGATAGTACACTCATTAACAGTACATTTTCTAGACTGAGATGTGGCATGCATAAATAGTACCACTTCATAAGTTTTTCATCGTATGTGCCTTACAGATCATCATGAGTTCATCTTTATTTTGCAAATCCAGTTAACTTATTGGCTCTTTCCATAATGTGAAATGTAATATCTACTATATCAATACTATAGTACATTATTTTTACATTTTTATATTTATATATATGTTTGTTTTTTTTAGATAACGACAGTACGATTAAAACCTGATTTCGGCACACTTTGCCATGCAATAAAAAATGAGAGAGCAAAGGCATAAGGAAAATGTTCAAATAAAAAAAGTGCAATTTTTTTTTGTCTCTGCCCACATATCCTGATCACAAATATATATTCTCTTGTCCATTTCTGTACACTCTAATAAACATTTTCCCTGCCAACAATGTATGGTATAAAGCTCCAAAAGTGCTAAAGAGATATGTGGAAAAAAGCTTTCAGTGCAATGAATTGATATGATTTATAAGAGGTGATTTCACTTTATAATGATACATGCAAGGAACATTCATTTACAGCTTACTTTTCAAAATGCAAAGCTAATTGTCAAATTATAAAAACCTTGAGACAAAAATAACCTGTTATGCAAACACGCTACAATCCTTGCACGCAACTATTGCATGTGTACTATTGTCAACATAAGCAGTTTTGATTTATACTTTACAGCCTATCTACAAGATTAATAGCTGACATGCGACTACACCAGCTATTTATCACACAGGTATTGTTACACAGTCTCACATGGAGGGGTGCTGCTGGCTGAGCATTTGCAGCTATAGATTTGCTGATAAGACGATGTGTGTGCTGATGTCCTCTTACCTTACACAACACACATTCATCTGCCCTTGACTATGATGCCAAGGCCTATCTCAAGTTGGCTGAATATAATGAAGTTTCGACCAATATGGAGCTGTGATGTAATGTGAGCTCAAATAATATTTCCAGTTTAAATTCTGTGATTGCCAAACTCTCTTATTTCATCTGTGACACAAAAGTTCGAGTCCTATACAGACCAGACGGACAAAAATAACTTATGCTGTCTCACCGGTCAGCAGAGTACACTGCCAAGGTGAACTGTTTCCAGTAAAAATCACATTGCTGCCCAATTTGCACTGGATGTTTCTCTCTTCAAAGATAACCAAAATAGCAATTGTTGTGTTAATTGCACTTTGACACATCTACATGCAGACAGACAACTAGTGTAAAGGCTGTCTCTCCACACAGTGCCTATTAATACTGCTATTATCTGCTCAAGTGTGCCATAATTGGAATACAAAACAGAGAGAAAGTTAAACTGAGTGTGTCCCAGATACGTTTGATTGTGCAAGTATATCGTTCATATTCTTCATTTTATACTCAAGAGTCCATTTCAGTGCATGCCGTTTTTCTCATTTTGCCAGGTGCCGTTGGTTTTGTTTAGAGAAAGTTCGCTTCCACACTTGTTAGCAGCTGACATTTTCTGGGCAGCTTCTGCTGCTGCGTCCATCACTTGCTTCTCCCCTTGCTCAGTCTCACGGTGGTAGAAATAGTTAAAGTTGGAGACGATGACAGGGACGGGTAAGGCAATGGTCAAGACACCAGCAATGGCACAGAGAGTGCCGACCATTTTGCCTCCCATGGTGATGGGACACATGTCTCCGTAACCTACTGTGGTCATGGTCACCACAGCCCACCAGAAGCCATCAGGGATGCTGACAAACTGTGTCTGGGGTTCATCCACTTCTGCAAAGTAGATGGCACTTGAGAAAAGGATGACTCCGATGAAGAGAAAGAATATTAGCAAGCCCAGTTCCCTCATGCTGGCTTTTAAAGTCTGTCCCAATATTTGAAGTCCCTTTGAGTGTCTAGAGAGCTTAAAAATTCTGAAGACTCTCACTAGTCGGATGATTCTTAGGATGGCCAAAGACATGTTCTGACTTGAGTTCATATCGTCGTCAGGTGTCGTAGCCAGCTCGGTTCCCAGAGTTACAAAGTAAGGAATTATAGAAACTATGTCTATGGTATTCATTATGTTATTGAAAAAATCCCTTTTGCTGGGGCACACCACAAAACGGACACCAACTTCAAAGCAAAACCAAATGATGCAAATGGTCTCCACGATGAAAAACGGGTCTGTGATATATGCCATCACGTCTTTTGTGGCAGGATGAGGGGAACTGTTTTGTGTGCCGTTGATCAACTGGGTTAAGCCTGTAGGAAAGTCAGTGTCTTCTCTAAACTCCGGTAGAGTCTCGAGGCAAAAGATGAAGATTGAAATGACAATTACGAAAACGGAGACTAGAGCGACGGATCTGGCTGCGCTGGAGCTCTCGGGGTATTCAAACAAGAGCCAGAACTGTCGTTGCAGCTCATTGGTGGGCAAAAGGACTTCAGGTTCTTTGACAAACCCTTCATCCTCACGAAACTGCTGCATCGCTTCATGACCTAACTCATAGAAAACAATTTCATTAGCAAAAACATCTAAGGGAACATTGGCTGGTCTTCGGATTCTTCCCCCTGACTGATAGTAGTAGAGAATCCCATCAAAAGATGGGCGGTTTCTATCAAAAAAGTATTCATTTCTCATCGGGTCAAAGTAACTTATCCTCTTCATGGGGTCACCCAGTAGTGTTTCTGGAAACTTGTTCAGGGTACTCAGCTGGGTTTCAAACATCAAGCCTGATATATTGATGACAACTTTCTCATCTTTTTCTTCTACGCAGTGCTTTTCAAACAGATCTTCATTTTCGTAGTAATCCTTCGGCATCTTACTGAAGACGCTGTCAGTGGGAGACTCGCTGTTGATCATAAGCTTCAGATTCGAGATCAAGCTGCCACTGCTGGAGTTCCCCTTGGAGGTCAGGGTGGGTGGGGTGGAAGGGGACAACCCCTCCTGACCAGAGTGGTGCCCCCGCCTTCCTCTGCGCGGTGACTGCTGGGGAGACGTCAGCCGGTGGGTCAAAAGGCTCTGATCAGGTGCCTCCGAGGTGGGCGAAGTCGGGTACCCGGAGTCACTCGGGTCGCCGAGGTTGATGCCAACGTCATCCATATTTTCAAAATTAACAAGCGGCACCTCCATCGCCTGATTTGCCGCTAGCCACAGCTGTGATGCTCAGCCCGGTTCAGGGGACAGAGGAGACACTTGAACCAGTGCCACGCTGAAGATCCTGGCGGGACGTCCCTTCTCCTGGTTACCATTCAGACTGCTGTTCACTCCTTTTTGGTGATCTGAAAAACAGAAGCAAAGGATGTGTTAAAATGTGATTTTTCTCTCAGCTCCCGTTTGCATCAGCAGCAAACCTGCCATCTGATATTCCGCATGTACAGTTATTCTTTCCCCTCAATTTCTCTCCAGTGACCTAAACTAAAACACAAACTCTGCAAGATTGACTGTGAGAGTGCTTACGTGCAGTATGGATTATTGCTGATGATGTGCAGCAAAACCTCATTTTGCTTGTGGATATTTTTTTGGACAATTCACTTATGGTGAAAAGCAAAAAAAAAAGAGAATCATCAAAACTTATCTCTCACAATTTCTTAATATCTAGTGTTTATTCTACCTGCTTCATATTTATCTTATCTCTTAGGAGCTCTTTATATATATATTTTTTTCTGTGGGTTGGACAGGTAACTGAATCTTAACATGCCCTCAGGCAGCAACACACTTGACACTAAGGTCTTCTGCGTCTGTTTCAACTTGGACTGCAGCAGATAACGTAACAGTTCAGGATACAGAGTTGCATCTTCAACCGCTAATGTAAAAAAATATCTGTATTGATTTAGCTATGTCAGCCAAAAGGTCTTACTCAGTGCTTCAGAGAAGAAAAAGGAAGACAGACAAAAGAAGTTCAGTTTTACATCCAAAATTAGTTTCAAATTGTACTGTAAGCAACTTTTTATTTTAAAAATCAGTAAGGTATCAAGCAGACAGTCATTTGACTATGAGTTGATATTAAAAGATATATAAGAAACTATTCTTCCTTTTTCAGAAACAACTATCAAAGCATCACAAAATTCATGCAGATACATTTCCTTATAAGAGTTTAGTGTGAATCCAGCTGTGTGCAGATGTCCTGAGCACTCACCCGTGTCCCCAAATCTGCAGAAGTTTCTGTGCCCTTACTGTCCTGCCTGGTGGCTTCGCTCTTCTCCCCCTCACTCCCGTCTCTCTCCTTCATCCAAACTCCTAATCAAGAGTGCCTCCAGTTCTATTAAAGCTCCCAGTGGGTAATTTAACACCGTGGGTGAAACCAGAGATGCTAAAGGTACCCGCACATGCTCACAAACATACACAAGTGCTCCTTCATGCACACCCAAACGCAACAAACACAAGCGGTGGCAACTGAGCGTGTTTTAAATGTGGGGGTCACCTGGCTTTGTTCTCGCCTCTCCCTCCTCCGTCAGTCGGGACGTTATAGGTGAGCTCTGTGATAGGAGATTTACAGTGCAGGAGCCAATCGAATCGCTGTTTGATGAGGGGAAGGGAGAGTGGGTCCCACTCGTTTCTCCTCTTCTTGCCGACTAAGCATCCACAGGCATGATCATCCAAACCAACCTCACCTTGGGGATTAAACCGTGTTATTTGCCGGTTATTATTTGTCGGTTGTCAAAAATCTCACAACGTGCCACAGCACATATATGTCCTTTAACTTTTTCATGTTTACATTGTCATACAAACTGATGACAACAGTTATTCTCACTGATAAGATTGTTTTATAAAATGGCAATAACTGAAAAATAAGAGTGTATACAAGTAAATGTTAATAAAATGTGATATATAAGAGAGCAATACATTGAAAATAAAAGGGCAAAAGAAAATATTGCAGATGACTTGTTCTTTTTTTTACTTTAGTAACCTCATCCCTTGCAGTGAAAAACTCTGATTAACAGAGTTGTTCTGGATCATTAAAAGGTTCGGTTTCAATAAAGTGGGGATGCACTTCCAATTTCGAATGCTCCTGACTTCTCCCGAGGAGTGAAAACTTTAATCAAAGGTAATCTTTCACTATTTATGAAGGACAGCCAAGCTGGCAGCGCGGACCGAATATTGTGTTACCTGATTGAGAACAAGTCGCCTAAAGCCTGATTTAATCTCCTCTCCTCACTATTGTCAGGCTGCAGCTGGCTGTCTGCTGGTCCCCCGTAACATTGCGGTGCGAGCAGGACCACTGCAGGCACTCACGGCGGACGCCTTCAAGGTCAGAGAACTGTTTTCAGACTCCGGAGTCAATGCTTTCCCATAAAACACCATGAACCGTCCCCTCAGCCTGTGCTCCCGTTGGTAACGTACACATGTGGCTCGATTAATTGAAATCTGACATTTTTGTCAAAGGAACCCCCCCCCCCCCACACACACACACACACAGAGGAAAGCTGATGCATTTCGGGGGGGCATATGCTCACACAACCATCACACTGCAGACTTGGCATCCTTCACATTTGAGGGACTATCTTCTTTTGAGATACCGCAGAGACGTGGACTTGTCATTGAGAGTGCAGTCTGCCGAGGCATGACCTGCCACACTTCATAACAGAATTTGCTACAGGCAGAAGCAAGCAAGATGATACCCGTGTGTGTGTGTGTGTGTGTGTGTGTGTGTGTGTGTGTGTGTGTGGCAGGCTGAGAGGGTAAATAATCGATCCATTCGCCCACAAAGCGATTTGTGTCAGTAAAAGTGGGAAAGGAGAGGTAAATGAGTGAGATGTGAACTCTGAGATGATGTGGGCTGCAGCTGCCGCAGTGTCACTCCTCTCTGGAGAACTGACAGGGTACCGGAGGGATTAGTGTCCCTCCCTCTGCCCTTCTATGCAGCCCTTGATCCATCATCCATCCCCCCCCCCCCCCCCCCCCCCCCCCCCCCCCCCCCTGCAACCAGCCCTCCCCCTGATGACACTCTCACCTTACCCGTTAACCGACAGTGTCGACAAAGCGATTTCTCAATCACCAGCCTTATTTGTGAACTATACTGACGCTGCATGGGGGGTTAGCACCCCCTGCGCACTTTGATGGAACTTGACTTTAGTCACGCCTGATAAAAATGCCAACATTTGCTCTGGACAAATAAATGACAACCTTCTCGCTGAGATGATGGCACAGATTCTTTGCTGACTTCTCGATTTGCGAAAAAATTTGTTTTGCATTTCTATTGCAAATACTTTCAGTCTTATCTATTAACTAATTCTGTCTGAACAACAACGGAAGAGAGATAAAATACATTTATGGCTTGCAAAATGTCAGTTTGTAACATGGATCAAAGGAAATGTATAGACGTTATTTGTGTATGAAAGGAATCTCTCTAGTGGCCTGTCTGGGGACTATACTAAAGAGTAGATCATTTTTTATATATATTATTTAAAAAATCAAGGAAAAATAAATGCATTTCTTTGGAGAACCTCAGAATACCATTTGATTGGATATGGTGAGGTTACTGTATTTTTGTTCTTTGCAGATTTGTTTATTTGTTGTGTCCCACATATTCATATTTGGAATAAAAGACAAAAGTGAGCACATCCATTTTAAATTCATAATGTCTGGATGGAAACTTAATCAAGTTAATAAAAAAAAACTAAATCCCATGTTTGGATAAAGGTTCTGCACTCAGCTGGGATAGGTTCCAACCACCCGTGACCCTTGACCCTTCTAGGAAAAAGCAGCATAGATAATGGATGGATATACAATCAAGCAGGTGGTAATTTATTTGCGATTTTCTTAGCATTCATCTTAATGTGTGCCCTGTTTTTTTTTAAAGCACATTTGACAGTTAAAACAAAAATTCCATCACAGTTCAACACTTCATCTCTCAGTATGCCTGTATGGTGTTTGTGGCTGGGCAGCAGGTTTACGGTAGGATTCTAGTTTTTCCACAAAAAAAGTCTGTTTTTCAACAGAATAAAAAAGTATTGCGCTCAGAACTGTTGAAAAATAACACACAATACGACAAAGATTTCCAAATAATTTCATGGAGAGGAATCACTGAAAAGAATTCCCCTGAAGGGGCACTTAGCGCCACTGGTTTGAGTGCTTGAGTATTTTTGTATGTCTATAACCAAGAAAACATACAATTGTGTTTTTTTTTCCATGGAAGTGTCAATCTTACCCAACAATAACTATTTATACAGTGTTTGTATAAAATACAGACTATTGCTCCTTTAGGTACAGCGTGTGAGTCCTGAGGTACATTCCATCAGCAATTATATTATTCACAGCTAGTTGCATTTAAAGGGTTGTTATTTCTATGTGAGTATTATACATTATGTATTTCATATCAGGTATTGGTGTCAACATTTTTGCCACATAAATGAAAATGTTGGTTAAAGTCTTGATTCAAAAAGAAAACAAGAAATTCTGTTAATGATTTGAAATCAACTCCAGATGGCACCCTTGTGGGAAAGATCCAAAAACCTGGGAACTACACATCATGTGCACATGATCTGGGTAATTCTATCTGAAAAGCCCATATGCTCATCCATTAAGGATGACAGGATTTCAAAGTGCAAGTAAGGTAGCCTGGATTAGATATTCCAGCCTCGTAATCTTATAGCGGCTTTAAAGGCAACGGGTTTTTCCAGTCTAGTAATCTTATATATCTCACCGGGGGTTCTCTTCATTGCAAATTACGTAGAAGGATGTGAAAGCAGTCTACATGGACGCACTGGCTACAGTAATCCCAAACATACTGAAATACACCTCAAAACTTAAGGAAGCAAAGACAAGTTTATCTAAAACCTGAAAGAATGGAGTTTTTTTTAAATCAAGTTTGGGAGTAACTTTTTATGGAAATAAAAAAAGATTATGTTCTGGTTAACTTCTGTTTATTTAGAGAGTGTAGTAGAAAAAGAAACTTGCTTTGAGTTTAAATGTATAGAACATACTGATATGTTCAGCAACATTTTTAATACCATATTAATTTATTATAAAAACATCAACACCTAGACAATAGGGTACGGCAGAGGAGACATTATACATTATACCATTGCTACATATCATCTCTCCTCCCTCTTCCTTCATTTCCTCTGCCCGTCTCACTATCACTCTGAAACAGGGGCCGTAATACCAAAATAGAGAAACGCATTCCTCAA